GGGATAAGTGTCCCGTCCACAAGGCCAATTACTCACGGGACACCCGCAATGGCATGGAAGCCTTGATGTGCCTCCATCACTTAGTGCCTGGCCAAAGGTATACGTAGTCTATATAATCGGTGGCGTGACAGAGCAAGATGTAGTGAACACACCGCCACACCAAGGTCTTACTCAGTCCATATCCATCCCCAACCACCTCCAGAAAACTCCCCACAGCATAAAAACGGAGAGCTGCCAGCAGCTGAATTCCGGGGCTCAGGGTGTAGCTCCGTCAAGTTTGTCTCTACAAAGTTTGAACAACAAGATGTAAAAGCTGCTGAATTTGCTCCCGTGGCAGGCAACATTTTTGTAGAATTGTATCTTTTGACATGGTAGCTATTCTGACACTATTATGAAATAATGCACATACACTAACTGGCTGCGCGGATGCAGCCATCTTTGATCTTTGATTTAGGACAACTATTCGCTTTCTCGCTGCCATAGTTTGACCAAACTCCCCATTTTGCTTTGTGTGTGTGTATGTGTTCATGTATTTGTCTGATGTTTGTCTGATTGTTGGTCTGTTGTGTTTCTATTGTGCATCATAGCTTAATAGTACTTTTTACTAAATGTATTGTGATTGTTTTATTATGTAAATATGTAATTTTACTTTCTTTTAGGGTGACTATTACCATCTGTCTAGGGACTGCAGGTGAAAAATAGCCTTCTGGCTAACTCTGGCATATTGACAGAAATGTTTATTAATATGCATTGTCCCTGTAATAAAAAAAATAGATTTAAATAGACTTAAATTAAATAGACTCCTAATTATGTGCTGCCTAATTGTTTGCCAGCCGATGTGCCTTCATGTATTATAATGGAAAAACTAACAACCATCAGTATAATGACAGTTTTATTCTTTGCATAAAAACACTTAAATTAATTGAACACTAATTGAACACTGGGTGTATTTATACAACTTTAGAATTGTAATATTTATTTGGTTCTGCACTTTTTCTTGCCACAGAATTACAATCGTATCGACTGAAATGTAAAGAAGGTTTTTGCACAGTGGTGGTCACTAGCGGAGTGAGCTGTGAACAGCGATAAGGTATAGCTAAGAGTGGTCCAGACTAACCTTACGAACGAATGACTTACAGAAGGTATACTTAACTAAGAACGTTTCGGGAAACACATATTAACGTAAATGTACAACTTAAGGTATAACTTACGAACGACGTAGCGTTAAGAAGGTTTTGGGAAACGCAGCCCAGAACACAGCTAAAAACATTTGAGATTAATTGAAACAGAGTCAGTGTGAGTGAATCATGATCAGGCAACCCATGTACAGTTTCAGTATTCATGCAAAAGCTTCAGCTCAGATTTTTCCTTGACAATTAGAGACCTTCGTTGTTAAAATGACTAAAAATAAAATTTAAATACTTCTCCTGTAGATCCTCGAGTGAATCCTGTGATCTTCATCAGTCCATCTGGAGAAATAGTGGAGGGAGATTCAGTGACTCTGAGCTGCAGCAGTGATTCAAACCCTCCTGCAGAAATCAGCTGGTTTAAAGGAGGAAGGTTTGTAGGATCTGGAAGAATCTACAGCATTTCAAAGATCAGCTCTGATCTGAGTGAAGAATACAAGTGCAGATCCAGAAATGAACATGGAGAGAAATACTCTGCTGCTGTGACTTTAAACGTCATGTGTGAGTTAATAATGGTTCAGTAACTTTGACATTAAATCCTCCAAACATAGTCTATGATGTCAAATTTATTGTGGTACGTAATGACATCAATGCTTTTTTCTGTGTTAGATCCTCCAAAGAGCATCTCAGTGTCCATCCGTCCATCTGGTGAAATAGTGGAGGGAGATTCAGTGACTCTGAGCTGCAGCAGTGATTCAAACCCACCTGCTCTGAACTTCAGCTGGTTTAAAGGAGGAACGTTTGTAGGATCTGGAAGAATCTACAGCATCTCAAACATCAGCTCTGATCACAGTGAAGAATACAAGTGCAAGTCCAGAAATGAACATGGAGAGAAATACTCTGATGCTGTGAATTTAAACGTCATGTGTGAGTCTATTATGCTGATTTTTGGTTTTGATCATTTCAGTTCATACTCATAATTTTTTACACATTTTAACAGGCCTTGTCAATAAATAATTTTATTTATTTTCATTTTTTTTTCAGATCCTCCCAGGAGTGTCTCAGTGTCCATAATTGGATCTGGTGAAATAGTGGAGGGAGATTCAGTGACTCTGAGCTGCAGCAGTGATTCAAACCCTCCTGCTCTGAACTTCAGCTGGTTTAAGGAGAATCAAAGCTCAGCTGTTGGATCTGGACAGAGTTTCAGTGCACTACAGAGTGGACGCTTCTACTGTGAGGCTCACAATCAACATGGATCTCAGAGATCAGACGCTGTTACTGTCACAGGTGAAGCTTTTATTAACACACTCCTGTATCTTCACATCATTCATCAGTTTGTTAATTATGATTATCTTCATCTTTCAGTTCATCCTGGTGCTGATAGGAACGTGATTGTGATCGCAGCAACATCTGGAGGATTATTCATCATCATCATCATTATAATATCCATAATGTAAAAAAAAAATAAACAAGAGTATATAAACATCATTTACTTTCAAACGAATGAATAAAATATATTTGACTATTAATTATATATGAAACAATGAAAAACTTGTGTTTCCTTTTTTGACAGAAAAAGGATAAAGAGAAGATCTACAATACACGAGTATGAGGTGAGATGCTCAAAGAACCACAGCATAAAATCAATAAAAGAATAAAATTAGTTTTTATATATTCTCCCTCTTTCCCTGTAGAACGATGATCCCAGTGTAAGCACATATACGGCTCTAGACCTCAAGTCCAGATCTACTGGCGTATACGACACACTCACAGTAAGTGAAATATCAAAAATACATGTGCAAAAGAGTTTTTGCTGTCAAAAGCGAGTTAATTTTTCAAATAATCAATGTATTTGTCACATAGTCTGTCCCTCCCACACCTGCTGTTCACCAGTCGGGATCTTCTGATTATGAGAATCTGCCAGTAAGTGTGAGATCCACAGGTCTTCTCAATATAATCAGTAAAGATATAAAATATCGTCACTAGTCAATAGATACACTATTACACAGTCTTTTCTTTCTGTTACAATATGGATTATATGAGTTGTAGCATTGACAGGAATAAAAAAAAAAGTGAACTCAGATTATTTGTACCATTGATTTATTATTAATGTGCTTTTAAAAATAAGGTTGCAGACCCATGTAAATGTGTTTTCCTTGTCTTTTTTTCTGTTGTAAACACATAGCAAGACACAACAGCAAGCACAAGCTAATCTTCACTCCACTTTGGACGCTGGACAAGCCCACATCGAGACATCCAATGAAAACACCTCTTTAGAGTCTTCATTCTCTAGTGAAGTGATGTTTCTCAAAGGTCCTGTAGAAAGTAATTAATTGTGTTCATGTGTGGCATAAATAAACAGTCAGAGTGTAATTAACAAATGTGTTCACACTGAGAGTTGTTTTAATAGATATCTACAGTATGCCTGTCATGTGCTATGTTATTTTGTACACTTCATATTACAGTCCTGCAAAGATGACAGAAAAAAAAATTGCAATTATTTTAGATCAAACATATATGACCCTGGACCACAAAACCAGTCATAAGGGTAAATTCTTTGAAATTTGAATAAATAAATAAGCTTTCCATTGATGTATGGTTTGTTAGGATCGGACAATATTTGGCTGAGATACAACTATTTGAAAATCTGGAATCTGAGGGTGCAAAAAAAAATCAAAATACTGAGAAAATCGCCTTTAAAATTGTCCAAATGAAGTTCTTAGCAATGCATATTAGTAATCAAAAATGAAGTTTGGATATATTTACGGTAGGAAATTTACAAAATATCTTCATAGAATATGATCTTTATTTAATATCCTAATGATTTTTGGCATAAAAGAAAAATCGATAATTTTGACCCACACAATGTATTGTTGGTTATTGCTACAAATATCCCCCAGCGACTTAACACTGCTTTTGTGCTCAAGGGTCACATATAATAGTGTGACCAGGATGCATCAGTGAATGGTGAGATATTTTCCTAAATAAAATGATCCTGCCAGAAGAACTTTGTGAAAACTTATTATGTCTCTGTATCTGTATCATCTCAGTGAGCGTTTATGAGGTTTTATGCATGCGAAGTAAGGGAATATTTTTTTTTTCTGACATTTGAGTGTGGATGAGAAACTTGGATGTGGATGGAGAGCATTTTGAAATGAAAACACCATTTTCAAATGTATCTGGATCAATGTAGACTTATTATTAGTGTTTTCACACTTGGTCCTTTTCAGGGGTCTGAGCACGGTTCGTGTGATTTTTGGCCCATATGTGAACACTCCAAACGATCTCAGACCCCTCAGTAGCGAACCGAACCGAGACCATCTCGGGAGGTGGTCTGAGTACGGGTCGCTTTCGGCTAAAGGTACGGTTCGCTAAAACCGTGCATTGTGAACACAAATCGGCCTGGGCTCACTTGATTTTTCCATTTGCGAAATTTCAAATTTCAGCCTTTAAAATTTCAAACCATTTTTAAGAAAAGAGTCAAAAATCAAATGTATCAATTATTATATTAATGGTTTAATGGCCGGTTTAATATAAATTATTATTTTAAACCAGCAGAAGGGCTGTTAAAAAATGCAAATTCATTCTCTGCCAGCAGGTGGCGCTTTCAGAGCTGCATAAATATATACTGAAACGTGCAGCGCTCATTTATCCAATGAAATCATTGCCTTTTTTCATTTTAATCATCACATTAAGCTATATGGCAACTGTCTTTCCGTCCCCATTGTACTTTTTTATGGCCTTAAATTTGATACAATTAAATGTGCTGACATTGAGATAGAAAAAATATATATAATTGGACAAATAAAATAAAATATAATAAACTGCTTTAAATTTTTCAGGTACAGTACAGATATCCTTAAACGCAGCATTTAAGTAAGATACTAATCAAATGAAAAAAAAATGAATGCATATTATTAATCGTATGAATAATAGATTCTACTGATTCTCATATTAGGCTGCTGTACTAGAACTACATACTGCAGAGATCAGTTACACATGCAATTTCTTTCCCAGATGTTTACATTCGATTGGGACAAAACCAACTGTGTTTATGTGAACCATGCGTGTTTTTGACAGTTGAAACAATAAACGGTAAAGAGAGTGTAGTTTAGCCCCCGCTGGGATCTGCGCGCTCGTAGCCTATATCAAAAAGTTTAAACTGGCAAGACGCATAGAAACCTTTATCAGTATAAAAAACCTTTATCAGTCTCTCTTACACAGTTTGGAAGCGGTTGTAATTAAAATAAATGAGTGTACATCATGAGCGAACAGTTTGTAGAGATCTGCAGAAGAAGCAGCCACTATGAACAGCTGATTTGTACGGAAACATCTGATGGCCAAACTACATCGGAATTCGCAAATGGAAAAATCAAGTGAGCCCGGGCCAATTTGTGTTCACAATGCACGTTTTTAGCGAACCGTACCTTTAGCCGAAGGCGAACCGTACTCAGACCACCTCCCGAGATGGTCTCGGTTCGGTTCGCTACTGAGGGGTCTGAGATCATTTGGCGTGTTCACATATGGGCCAAAAATCACACGAACCGCGCTCAGACCCCTGAAAAGGACCAAGAGGTGGACCAAGTGAAAAAGGATCCAGTTCTCTTTGTGTTCACACTATCGCAGTTCCTGAAAGAGGACTCGGATTCCTTTGTTCTTCCACTTCAGCAGTAATGGAGTCTCAGACCTCTTTGTGTTCATACTGTTTCTTTTTGGGACCCAGTTTTCTTCCAGTGCTGTGCATTATGGGTACAGCAACAATATGCAAGATTGCTGACCCTAAGCATGTGCTCATTTTCCTGCACAACATGTTTTTATTACAAAAGAGAAATAGAGAACATAATAAAAAAATCAAAGAAATCAAGTCACAACACAGTCAACAAATGCAAAAGATAAGAAAAAGAAAAATAAGGCGAAAACAACTCTTTCAGAAGCAACACTGTTTATCTCTGGGACTTTAACTTATGATGCACACTTCAGTCATGCTGACAACTGAGCTGTCTCCCAGAAAGGTTAGTTTTCTCACTCATATCTCATTGTTTGATATCATACTTTTGAGCTAAATAGCGTACTATTTTGTGATTTTACCATTACATCACAGTTTCATATAACCATTCCTGTTAAATAGTTTTAAAGATCCTGTTGGACCAGAAATCGATCACGCCTTTGGTGGGAGAGCACAGAGTTTTGGTCTGACTCTGACTGGCACAGAAATTTCAGGATTCAGGAGTAGAGAGACATTCCTGTTTATATGTCATGTCAAAGTTTATTAAAGTGCCACAAGGAAATGTTTTGAGAGATATTGTTAATGGTTTCAGAGACAAATGGGGTTTCCCCCAGTGTGTCGGAGCCATTGATGGCACCCATGTGCCCATGATAGCACCTCACAAAACAAAGGTTGATTTCTACAATCGCAAGGGTTATTATTCAGTACTGTTGCAGGCTGTTGTGGACCTTAAGCTGCAGTTTTGGGATATTAATGTTGGATGGCCTGGAAAAGCGCATGATGCATGTGTTTTTGCAAATTCTAGCCTTTTTAGAAAAGAACAGTCTGGGAGGCTTTTTCCAGCATGGACTGAGGATTTTCAAGATGTACCTGTACCAATAACAATCATAGGTGATGCTGCTTACCCTCTTTTGCCATGGTTAGAGAAGCCATTTGCAGAAGGGCAAGGTCTGACTCAAGCTGAACAACAGTACAACTACAGATTAAGCCGAGCAAGAATGTGCATTGAATGTGCTTTTAGTAGACTAAAAGCTCGCTGACGATGTTTGCTGAAGAGGAATGGTCACAGCACCAACGGCATCAACACAGTGATTGCTGCTTGTTGCACTTTGCACAATATATGTGAGAGCCGAGGTGAAGCATTGGAGCCAAATCTCATTAATGACAATGACAACGAAACAGAAATAGCCAACACAGAAGAGGATGAACCTATTGCAGATGATGTAACTGGACAAGACATATGCAGAGCACTAGTTGACCTAATACAAATGTATGGTAATTCTAAAATTTAAATATGTTCATGTTTATTATCTTAAAAATAATCTTAATTTCTTGCATTTTTTTGTTATATGCAATTTTGAATATATGTAAATTAATAAATGTTCAGCAGTTCCTTTGGCAACACATATTTTTTTCTTTCTATGTAATAAAAACAAACTTGTTTCCTCCATGATAAATACTGATAAAAATGTTACGTAAGTATTATTAAATAAAAGCCTGCACTGCATAAACTGTTGTAAAGCACTTTATTGGCACAGCACATACTACAGTAAAATTGCAAAACATAAAGAGTTTGTCAAAATTCTGAATATTATCAAAAAATATAGGACTTTAACAAAAAAAAAAGTAATACAAAAAACCTTATTTCATAGAATACAACAGAAACATTCTTTTTTCAAAATAAAAACATTATTAGCTGGTTATAAAGCAGTATTAAAAGATTAAACAATTGTATAAAACTGAAGAATTATAAAGTGCTCAGATATTTGAACTGTCAAACGTTTAATTATTCTGAACTGTGGTAAACCATTACTTATGAGCAGTACCCTCTGTAGAAACAAAACTAATTGTCTGGCCATGTGTGTTAGCAAGTGGAAAAAGTATTTCTCTCAAGAACAAACAACTCCTTTAGAACAAAAACAACAATCAAGGAGAATTCAAAAGTTGTTCAACTCATGCAAGACAGAAGACAGTGTCTGCTCACTACTGCTGACACTACTGGCTTCTTGGGTAGTAACTGTAGCACTTGGTCAGTGTATTTCACTCAAATTATGATCAGATGGTTCTTCGTTTGGATGGGTTTGAGAGACCATTTGATTGGGGAATGATTGTGTGTGCATAGGTGGAAAAGTGGGATTTACAGCAGCGCTCATCACTTGACATAGCATCCTCATCATAGCCCGATCATGTTCTATCTATCTGTGCATGGTGTCGCCTCTCTTCCATTTCATGACAACATGAATAAATTCATAAACTTTAGCGGGAAAAAATAATTTTATAAAAAAACAACATAATGCTGTTAATTGAGATTAATTTCTATTGAACATAAAGCAAATTTATGTAACTGAATTTAATGGTATAACATACATCATGATTCTCCCATGTATATTAATAGACAACTTAACAAAATAACGTGTAATTTACTAGATGTTTTGACAATTTTATTTGCTGCAGTCTTTTTAAAAAATATATTTTCAAATAATATTTTTTAAAGCTGTGTTTTAAAGTAGTAAAGCAAGTTGGCAA